GCTCACCCGCAATGGCAGGCTTACTCCCAAACAGGTATCATTCTCCTCGTAAAGGTGATTAAAGACAGCAGCACAGCTAGGCTCCAAAATGCAATTAGGCTACCGTATTGCATCAAAGTCCTCTGTCACTCACTCATCTGCATAACCTGCAACCTCCTTTTTGCTGAGCCACATATTCTTGGAAAAGCCTGCACACCACTTTGAACACTGCTATTTCAGCATTCAAGAAATACCACTTCCATTCACAGGAACGTTCTCAGCCAGACTGCACCAGGACAACAGTTCTGCAATACTTCTGAGGCTGGCAGCTATTTATGTCTGCTCAGCCACCACGGTTTCAGTGGAAGTTGTTCTTTCCTCTTGAAATAATCTTGTTTTATCTGACTTCTGCATGACAATGGGAGCATCTGAGCTTGCTCAGACTTCCCATAAAAGCCACAAAATGCTGAGCTCATGAGTCAAAATAGGTTCTTTTCCTTGAATTCTCTTCCCACATCTTGGGGAAAAAACAAAAAAAAAACCCAACCAAAAAACAACCCAAAACCCAAACCATACACATCTTTGGATTGGCACATCAAGAACGCCAGGCCAATTCCTCGCGTAAATGATGACTATTGAGCCAAGGCGCAGCTCTACATATCTAACTGCTGTCATAAAAAGATGTCAAATAATAATGCTCAAACAAGCAAACCAGCACGCTACTTCAACCATAAAGTATTTTTAAAAGCCCTGAAGTGTGTATCTTCCTCACTTTCTTTCCCAATAACACACAAGATTGTTATTTTTAGTTCACGTTCCATAACAATAAAATGCTGTTGCTCAGTATTTTGGGATGAAATTGTACAGTAAATCATACATTTGTAAGTCCAATTAGGCAGATACATTAGAAGGACCACAAGACTCTGTGGCTTCCCAAGATTTTTGCCGATAACGATGGCACACAAAACTGTTAAATGATTTACAGCTGTAGCTACACTTTATATAATCAAGGCCTTGGGATGTCCGATTGAATAGACCTGATATAGACCAAACCATGAAAACAAGCTCGTACAGCATTTAGTGATCTGACCGATTTTTGGAAATGACGTTCCTTTTTTTGTAAGGATGTCTCAGCTCGCTTCTGTTTTAGAAATAAACATCCACAAAGGTCTAGCATCTACTTTGGCTAGAACTTTGCTCCTGAAGACCGTGTGCCACTGCAGCTTCCCAACTATTGCCTATTTAGACGAATGGCTCCTATTCCCCATGACAGTGGACTAATCTACCGCCAACTGTCTTGGCTTCAGCTCGCTTACGCAGAGAATGAGGAAGTGATGTCGTCCATGCTGGTAAGCCTCTGCTGCTATTACATCATCTCTCCAAACCTGGGCTCCCACCCAGTGATTGTGTAACGCTGTGACACCACCACCAGTCAGGGGTATTCCCTACAGTACTTGCCAACTCTTAATAAACATACGGTTACTAACCTGTATGAGTGCGCTGATGTGCTTTCAGATGTGAACTTTTGGTGTAAACTTTCCTGCAACCGTTAAAATGACACCTGTGAACGCGCCTTCTGCCATCTGGCGAGGTGTCACCATTGGCGGGTGTACCTTTTTCTGCAGTCTTTCCAGCGGTACCAGTACGAATTTTTCCCGGTGAATGCAACTCACCCGGCGTACAATTCCATAGCTGGGAAGAAGGCTCCTTGCTCAGCTCAGGAGATGAAGGGGGAGTGGAAGTGACAGACGAACTCAAGTTTCCTGAACTGGCTAAAACATCGCTTATAGGGTCAGAGGTAAACTTTGTCGTGGGTGAGAGCTCCTCAGAGCTGTCTGAAGATTCGCTGCTCACGTCAGAATTCAAACTGTTGGTCTCTAAGTTCTGACTAGTAAGATTGTCCTCTTTTGGGACACACGTGTTCTTCAGTTCAGATTCCTCCTTTTTCTCACGTGCCAGAATAATTTTGGTCCAGAGATCCTCTTGGCTATCAAATTTGATTTCAGATGCAGAAACATAGCAGGGCTCACTTTGAAGATACCGTTCCAGCTCCAAACATGTCTAGGTGAAAGAGAAGGAAGAAAAAAAGAGAAGAGTTACAAGCTTGCTTAAAAATAAACCCAATTGTACTTTACACTTCAAAAAGCAAGCAGGATTGTAGTACGTTCGATTTGAGGTTTCTAGGTTCAAAACAAATTACAGGCTCCTCCAGCCGTAACTAGGTGACTGTTACGATGAAAAGAAATCAGTTTTCGAGACCTGGGCAGGAGTTCAAACGCACAGCTGAAGGTGCAAGTCAGCTTTGGTTTCCAAAATAGCATTCTAATGAGTCAGTCAAATTATCATCGCTCTCATCATAAAACCTGTGTTTTCAGTAGGCTGACGTTGAAAAGGACCATAAAGAACCACAACAAATAATTACACTTTGCTCTCGCGCCTCGTCTAATTTCAAGTTGTTTTGTATCTCTCTCTCACAAACAGGAGGCTGAAAGGACCCAACTGAACACAATGTGCTCTGACACGCAGTTAAAACCCAAACGCTGTGTCAGAAAACAAAGCCACATTTCAGCATGGCTGCGGAGCTGCGGGTCCGTCTTCTGGGGACATCAATGGAGCAGCAGACATCCTCCCATTTCCTGTGCATGAGAACGCAGCACACTCGACTTTCAAAGAATGTCATTTCCAAGCGTACTTGCATGCATGCCACATAACTCAAACTGCTCCCGTGCGTGTTTGGAGGAACACGGGGAACTTCAACAACAGAGCAGAGGGGAAAAAAAACTTCCAGAATAGAAATGTCCTATTCTATAGGATGCAAAAGGGGAAATTACTCTGAGGTCCTGCTGGGAGTCCCACAATGAACAAGAACTTTATCTCCTGGCCAAGAGTGCAACTGTATGAGTCATCCCTCTCTTTCTTTCACGCAATGCCAAAGGAGACTTCCTTTTAAAACCCTGACCATCTGCCAAGAAAGTACTCTGTTCAAATATACATGCAACAGTACATGGACAACTTCCCCCCACCCCCCAACTGCATTCCCCTCCACTCCCTC